CTTGTAGCTTTGATTGGGCGGGTCGTCGAGTCGAGTGATCTTACGAACGTGACCGATGAACCATCTGTCATAGGGGGATACAGATACTCATTCACCATTGAAGATCAAGAGTACGATTTCTTTCATCGTTGGTTATTTGAAATTACAATATAATATATTTATTGAAATCATGATATAATATGTTTATCGATTCACATACATTTTTATTTTGATTAATAAATAGGAAGAAGACCCTCAAGTGTTGTGCATATGGAGGAGTGGCGATAGAGTGCCATGATCGGTTTAGAAATGTGATTGGTACGGATGTTACGTGTGTTCTTCGCTGGTGGAAAGTTTATCAACTCCTTGATGGATGGAGGCACGTTCGTATCTACAGCCATCCCCCCTACTCGAAGATTCTGGTCCAGAGCGATGCCGATAACGTCGAGCACTCTTGATAAATTAGTATTTATCATATTTAATATGTGCTTTATTTGTTTCCTTAGATTATGCAATGTTGCGTTTGGTTTTAAATTATGACATATTACTTATTTTTTATTATTATTAATAGAAACTATCTTATTATGAAAGATGCACTTTGTTATGTACCGATACAGTGATATCTTTGGTAAATATTCACTTCTTATACTTTATGCAAAAAATCCCCCCCCAAAAATAGTAAATATGTTAGATTTAGCTAAAATTGAAAAATCTGCAAAATATTTTCGAATCTCTGTTTAAGACTTATTACTTTTTTATACTTCTGATAATTCCGAATCTAATGTTAAATAATTGGAAAAATCGGATCTATATATATATATATATATATATATATATCGATTATACTTGGCTTCGGTGTTTATAACCACCAGGATCGATGGAATCGTTTAGATGTCATGGGTGGCCTTTTGACGTTATGACCTATAACAGAAATATGTTCACTATATCATCTCTGAATCCGTTGATCCATGAATGGAGTACTTGTGTTAAGATTTTGCATGTTTGGCACGAACTTGACGATGTTAGTAATGCACTAAACCTTATTTTGATGGATAATCAGGTTGGTAATTCTTCAAAATAAACTGTAATCAGTATTTGTGTTAAGATTTTGTATTGAGATGTTTTCATGTTTTGTAATTAAATCAGGGTACGAAAATCCGAGCCGTCATTCGCGAAAGTTTGGTAACTAGGTTTTCGCCATTACTGATTGAGGGTCTCTGGATGATATTAAGAAAATTTTCGTTAATCCCTGATGTCGACTTAGTCAGAACTACTCCACATAGATTCAAGATTCAGTTCTCTCCTGATACATGTGTCGAATATCTTAATTACCTCGCATGTGATTATGATTACTTTAACTTTGCGAGATTTCGTGATATTCGTACGGGTATAAGTAACCCGTATATCTGTGTAGGTGAGATTATATTCGTTTCTCTTCTGGTTAGATTTTTCCCATAACTACTCTAATCATTACGTTGTATTGTTTTCTTTAGATTTGGTCGGGAAGGTTGATAATGTGAATGACATACAACTCGTGCAGATGGTGGGCTCTTCGAAAGATATTTCTGTGGTTTATTTTGACCTAATTGATACAGAGTATTGATTCTTAGTCTTATACAGATATATAATTTTGTTTTCTCTCAACGAATTTGTCATAATAATGTCAACTGTGATATAAATTTGTAGGAATACGCGTTTGAGTATCAGACTGACCGGTGAAACCGCCGTTAGATTTCATAGACAGT